TAGAGGTCCCTTCCAACCTCAACCATTCTGTGATTTCATTGTCAATTTAGGGGATCAGCAAGAGAATGACTAGATACCCGGGATGTCTTTCTTACAGTAATACATCTTCAGCATTTACTTTCCTGGGTACAGAACCACATCCAGAGACATGGAAGCTATAGTTTTAGAGAACTACATTTTTAATGCTGTGACTCTCTAGTAGGCACAAAACTGAGCCATTACTATACCGAAAAGAAATAAGGACCTGTATGTTATTAGGGCTGAACATTTGTCACTCTTTTCTTTGTAGAGGATAACCTGACAAAAGAATGGCCACTGCATGCGCAGGTTTATGTTGAGGATATGTCCTGGGATGAAGGTATGATGCCTCACTTTGTGTTCTCAGAGCATTTCAGTGTCATTAAAAATTCTTTTCCTGTATCTTAGACCTTTGTGGGGTTTTTTAAATTATTTGTTAACTTTCTCTTTCAAGTTACCTCCCTCTCCTTCACTTTCTAAAACAAAAAATTTCTCATTTAGCTATTCTGCTGCCTGTTACTGCCTGCTGCTTTTCCATATCTCTGTTAGTTCCTGTCAATCCTATCTCTTAAAAGTCTGTTCAAGTCTTTCACTAGCACTATGCAGTTGGAATTGCTACTTTACTGTCTGTGAGTATATTGTGCATTTGTTCTTCACCTTCTTTTTTTTTTTTTTTTTTTTCTGCTTGGATATTGAGAGCTTGCAGGACACTTTTCACCTAGGTGTCTTCCTGTAGCATAATTGATTTTTTAAATACCTGGATTCTTTCTGAATCTCTCATGTATCTTCCTGTGCCTTCTGTCATATATAGGATGCAAGTGTTCTCATATACATTTTCTTTTCTAACAGTATTTTACTTTTTCCCTTTATTTTACTCTAGATTTTATCATTTGATTGACTTTTTAGAGGGCTGTTACTGATTTCTTCTTTCCTACCCCACTCCCTAAAGCTGGGTGGCAAGAACCTAACTTCTGTCCTTTCTTGTGTTAGATGCTTCTTCCCTGTGGTAGCCTATTTTAGAACCATCTGTGATCTGACATCTGTATGACTAACACCTCCCCCTCCCCTATTTTGTTCTTAATTGCTTTTCTGATCTCTTTAAAGTTCTTGGTACTTTGTCAGAATCAAGTCTCACTTGGAAATCTTCAGTAGCTTAGTTCTTTTAACATATGGCTGGTTTACTGATGTGCACCTTCTTAGTATTTGCTCTTTTAAAATAATGAAGCTTCACTGACCCTGCTTGTTTGGCCTAAAGCCATCTCGGCCACTAAAGCACACTTGAAGAGCAAGGCACATCTTGAGCAACAAATGGAGCCCAGGAACTGATTTCCCCAGTCCAGGAAGGGGAGGTCATACATACAAATTGTGTTATTAGCAAATGTGTGAATAATCTAAAATAACATTTTTTGTTTGTTTTACAAACATTAAAGCATTTTTTCCCCTCTTTTGTGGCAGGTGAACAATGTTACACTCTTCCCTGCCGATGTGGTGGAAATTACACTGTCTCCAAGACTGAAACCAAAGAGGTGGCTCTGGTTTGTTGTGACACATGTTCTCTTGTTATAGAAATTCTCCAGTGATTGTTTCAGTCAAGCACATTAACTGTTAAACTTTTTAAAAACACTGGACTGGACAGAGACACTGGACAAAAAGAGGACAGCATCTGCTAAGAAATATGTTGAAGAAAAGGAGGGCACTGCAAGAACAAGTTCAGTCAGGCTTAAAAAAAATGCGTAAGTGCTAACAAAAGTCTGCAGAAATGAAGCTTGTTTTTCTTCCTTTATTAAAGAGTTATTTATTTAATAAAATCCAGAAGTTGTCTCTGTTCAACAGGAATGTATCTTCTGCTGTAAATGACACTTCTTTCCCAGGTAAGAATAGAATACTACTTTCAATTCCAGTCTCTATTAGCTACCGCTTGAGTACTACATCCTAAATTAAATAATTTTTACAGCTCAGTTAATAAAATTTATTGAGAAATCACACATGGGAGAATGCTTTGAAGATAATGAAGAGTAAGGCACATAAATGTAAAATAAACATTTTTGACTTCTGTGCTACATCTATAACTTATCCCACATGGATTCCTCATAAGGATTTCAGTCTTGGGAGGAGGTGGCAGAGAACTGCACAGGAAGGAGGCTGGCTCTGGCAAGACTGAGCAGTGTGTGCATGTCCATGCACTGGGCTAGCATGGGGCAGCTGCACTAATCTTACAGCAGGAAGCAGCCAGATGCTTTTGAATCAAATATGCTCCATCACCTGAACAACTGCAAGCTCGCTTCCTTAGATGGAGGAAGCGGGAGGCTGTGCTTTTCCCCCTAAGGGTATGCAGGCTCCAGGACCAAACCAGAGATAGCGGAGGGAGGGAGCGGGGCAGGAATACTACAAAATACATATAACTAAGTAGATATCAGATCCTGGGCCTGACTGTTACTCCTCAGGAACCTTTTTGGTGCCTTTTACTAGCATAGGCATTGCTTCTGTGGGGCTCTCAAGGTACAGCAGTATTCACTCTGCCTTCTCTCTCTTTCATGCTTTGTTAACAGTCAATGTTAACCTTATCTTATAGTAAGAACCAAAACTTGCTAATAAATGCAAGCATTTTCTGTGAATAGCCAGAGGAAACAGAACAAAAGACATACCATTTCTGATGGTGATGATGATGGCAGTATATCATTTCAACTTTTAAATTAGATGTAATCTCAGGACAAAAAGAGATGACTGACTTCTGTCAGGTAATACTTGTATTTATTCTAAGCAAAAATAGTTCCATTGATTTAGTAGAAAGTGGTGTGAAAGCTGGTAATAATAAATAGTTATTTAATCGTCAAGAAATCTATGGCCGTTAGGGCTTGCACGTAGAAATCCAAAGTCACTCAGAGGCCATATCTGTGAAATAAAATACAGCAGCAAATAAGAGATTTTATCACAACTCAAAGGTCATTATTATTAATGCTTTTATTAAATACTTTTTAATAAAACTGCATCTCTTTTTAATTCTTTGCTTAGTAGTGTAGCAAGGGGATAGAAACTTTTCTCTGTTGTGTATTTCCTATACTAAGGGTAATACATGCTTGAGGAATCATCATCTCCATGCTGGTGGGTGAAAATTAATTTACACAGAGCATGCCTTACTGTGGAGAACTTAAATTAAGGTATTTTATTCCCAAGGCTGGAAAAATACACATTGTTAGAAAGCATCTTTTTAACTTGCTATTTTCTGGCTTGTGAACGTTGTAAGGGTTTAAGAGGCAAAATATTTTTTGATTTTGATATAAAGTCATAAACATGTACAGACACAAGCATCAGAAGGATGCTAACTGGTAAGGAAGTTTTTCTCCAATAGTTGACTACAAAGCTATTTATACTGCTGATTACTCCCAAGAATACTTTCTTCTGAGCACCCACTAGTGAAATGTGCCTGTCTTGGAGAAGAAAAGTAAAAGGGGATCAAGGAGTCTTTTACTCTTTGTCCTGTCCTCCTTCACTGCCTACATCTTTGCATTACAGGCTCTCGGAGGCGGCAAGGGGGGCTCAGAGGTTTTTTTTTGAGATGATTTTGAAAATAAAGGCCATTCCGTGGCTCTAAGCTCATGAAAATCTCGAATCCCCACTCAAGATGGGGAGCTAGACAGAGAAAGATTTGTTCCTAAAGCATTTGTTAGAATATGTATCATGCTATTTTTCTCCTCTCTGTAGAATTTGGTTGTAAGAAGATATACAGAGTCACCTTCTAGAAACAGCAAATTCTTCCACAGAGTTTGCAGAAGAGCTGCAGCATAGTAGGTGCCTTTTCAGTGTTCTGTGGGCAGTGCAAAAGCATTTTCCTGAGCTTGCAAGAGGAAGCACAATGCCAGGCTCTGGCTTTGGTATTTCAATCATCATGAGTTATCCATCTAGCAGTAAAGCTAGTGACAAGCTAAGGCAGTTCTCAAGGATGGGAGATGCAGTAGCAAGACTTGGCATTAAGTTACACTGGATAGGGACAACGCACTGCTAGAAGCTCCCTTGACTTGCTTCCCCACCCAGGCCCTTGCAGCACTGGTATAAATTGCCATCAGGAGGATTTTTGCCTGGCCCTGCAGTCCAGAAGAATAAGTGAATCCCAGGACCTCAAGCTCTGTAGATCTAAACATTTCCCAATGCTCTATTGCTTAAATATGTTTGAAAATATGTGCCTTTTAGAGGAGAGCATGAAGGGCAACTGATGTACATAAATGCACAAAGGTAAAGATGGAGAGACCAGATTCCCGTTAGAGGAGGAATCTAGGCCTGTGGAACAGTGACAAGGATACCCATACCCAGTAAAGTTACAGTATTCAAGGGCCAGCACTGGCTCCAGGTGGAGTGTCAAGTCTTTTCTTTGGTCTCAAAGGCAACCACGAGTGAAAAAGGAGAACAGGAGTGCCCATATTGCAGGCTGATACAAGAAGCCTGAAAGAGCTTCTCAGGCCATTTCTTGCACACAAGTCTCTCTTGAGGTAGCTTGAAACTTATGTGCTGCACTTTGAGTTCCTTTCAGTAAAACTAATAAAACTTGCTGTAAATGCTGTTTTGATTATTTGGTTTCAAATGTAAAGTAGATTTACTGTTAGATTGAAAATGAAAATCTGTAGTCTACATACATTAAAGAATCCAAGAAATAATTCTTACAGGGTAAAGGAGACAGAACAAGCATTCCATGTGAAACAAAGACATGCCACTGTGTATAATAATTCCCAAGTCTTTTAAAGTTATGACAGAAGTTGAGTCTGACTTGTTGGTTCAAACTGGCTAGTCCAATTAGTGGCTGTTTCCCCTTGCCCTCTTCATCTTGCCTATGTAGATTTGATCTGATGGATGGGGGATAAAAGGGGCTAACTAGCTCTTTTGAAGATACTCTGCAGCTTTATTTTTGATTCAAAGCCTATGTCCAGGAAATGTATTGGACATCTTATCTAGGACAGCATGAAGCATGAGTACTGTGGGAGGGGACTCCCCTTAGTGGGAACATTTTACTGCATCTTTGGCTACTTTAATTTCAGTGGCTTTTTTATTAAAAAACAGAATAGACTTGCTTCTCAGAGCAGCAGTTGCTATGTCAGCAGCAGGAAAGAAAACAGACAAAAATAAATCCAAATGCCACTACTCTCTCGGTAAGAACATGATACATGAGCATTACCTGAGAATCTTAGGTCTGAACTTCCCAGATAAGCTGCAGAGCAGACATCTGTTTTGCCAAGAAGAGGTTGCCTGAACAAGCTTCGTTTAAGCTCACTCTTCACTGCAAACCATTACCTCCCTATTATAGTGGCACCATTCTCACGAGGACAGCTTTCTGCACCCATTACTAGAAAGGTAATTTAACATTCAAAGATATCATTGCATGTTTCTTCCAAAGCTGCTGTAAGATGAAACCAAGTAAGCTCTTATTCTCAAGGTAGTCGAGAGATTTTTCATGTAAAAGGTATAAGCATGTATAAGGTTTTGGCCAGTAGTCTACCAGTTAGCTACTACCACATGGGCACCCTGCTGACTACCACAGTGGTGTTGAGTAGGAACATACAGCAAGATCAATGTATTCTGATAGGAATAACCCACGAACCCAAACTGTTGCTTTGAAGAGTAAAACAGTTTTTGCTTTTGTTAAGTGCCATATACTTAAAATGCTAATAACCATTGTTGTATTCACAATAAAAATGCTATAAAATTTGCTTACCAGTATTTTGATAAGTATCAATGGATAGCCTATTATCTTTTTAAAAAGGCAGCACACTGGAATCCTAAAGTATTTCACTAGATAATTTTACAGTGTACTACGTGCTATAGAATGGGATCCTCTTGTCAGTCACTTTACTAAAGCGTCTCAGACGTGGTTTTGTTGGGGTACAATCTAGACACAAATTTGTTTCTGTGGAAGGATCCTGTGAATAATTATGGCTGTCCACAGGCATAATTTATTAATTTATCAATTATTCACAAATTGTCTCCTTAAAGTAATAAATACCATTTTTTTCTTTACAGGCATATCAGTTGGATTTTTTTCAGATGGATGATTCATACCAGACTTTACATAAAAGGCTATCAGAATATTAATATAATTTGTATTTTAGTTAGGTCACAAAAATAGACCAATTTAGAATCAACCTTTTTTTTTTTTTTCTCTGATATACATGGTAAGGCAAACAACAAAAAGAAGAAATGGGGAGCACTCAATACACACTAGGGAAGAACTCCAAGCAAATGTTTTAATAATCCATAAAGAACAGAGGTCAAATAGAGCTGGGGGGCAGGGGGGACATGTTATTTCAGGCTTAGTTGGCAATTAGTGATCGTGGTCAGTAGTTGCAAGGTTTTTGAAAACTCCGAAGTTCTGTTCATAAAAATGAACATTAGGTCTTTCCAATTTAACTGTTTTGTACACTTACTCTTCTCTATGCCTATAATATAGCTGTGCTAAATTATGTTTTTGTTGTTGTTTTAAAATGCATGACAGTTTTCACAACCTTTTTCATCATTCTGAATGGCAGCATTTTAAATCTAGCTTTCTAAAAGCTAGTGCATAAGCCTACAGACTATAACCTCTTATTTCTTACATTAAGCTTTCTTAAGAGAAAATTGTTTTTTTTTTGATAAATGACTAAGTAGCATAGATATGAACTGAAAGTAATTTAGTGATAAAAAAAATACAGGATGGTTAAGGGAAATTGAAAGTGAAAATGCATACAATTCAGCTTTAATGCAAGCATATAGATTTTTAAAGTAAAAGACAATTATGGTGGTATATGTTTGACTACCACTACGTGTGTTTTACAGATTTAGTATGAAAAGCAGTAAGGCCTTGCATACATAAATTAGGGATGCAAGTCTTGCAAAGATGACCTTTTCTCCATTTGTTTGTATCTCTCCAATCAGAGCATCAGCAAAATATAAAACAGAGGCAAGAATCACATTAAGGACCAAATGTCTTTCGTCATGCAGTAAAGGTGCAAAGGTAGACACAGAAACCTGTAGTTACGTGTGTTTGTACCAGGTTTGGCCTTCCTTTCAGAATAATTCATTTCTTCTTTAATTCATGTTCAAAGAATGCTCTGCAAGAAAATTAAGCCTCCCTCAAAAACCCATAGTTGAATCATGCTATTACAGCAAGTGTCTGATCTTCAAGCTTTCATTCACATTTATTTTGGTCAGACTGTTAAGGAGGTAAGTTTTAAAGCCTCACACCCTGGCATTACAGAAGTGTTAATATAGCTGTATATAAATATTATAAATATACCTTAAAACAAATGCGTCCTCTTATCAATCCATAAGGAACAGGTCCATAACACCTGGAATCTGTAGAATTCCTGAGATTATCACCTTCTAACCAAACATGTCCTTTAGGCACCTATAATCAAGCAAGAGCAGACAGAAGCGTAAAAAGAACATGGAGGAGGACTATTTCTATAAAGAGAATTAAGAATCATTTGCCTTAAGATATATTCTGTAATTTCTGCATTCTATATTTCATTACTATATAATGAACTAATTTTATAGCCTCTAATGCAGAGAGCTGGATTGGGAGGGAGGAGAGGGAGTGTTCCAAAGTATCTGTTCTATCATGTGCTCAAAAAAACAATGGTTTGCAACAAAAAACCCAAAATGAAGATATAAGAGGTTAGGCCAATGTGACAGGGTCATTAATTTAATAGACTTCAAAAGAGGTCATTAGGATGTTGACTGAAAATCTGCCCTCCTGTCACAGTAACAGCATGAACAGGGCAGCCACACACTCATCAACATCCTGGGGCCAGCACCAAGGCTAGACCTGTTAGTAGATTCATGATGAACTGGCTGGTAATTGATTGTGACACCAATTACGAATAATCTCATCATTTTATCGGAGTAGGCTTGTCAAACTTCTAATTAAGATCACAGTTCATTCTATGTGCAGGCAGAATCCACAACACATTATATTGCAATAATGATGATCACAAAACAGCAAATCCCTTTTTATAATTTGAAAATTAATGATGGTGACCTTATACTATATGACAAAGACTCTTCACTGCCTATATATTTTATGCATTGACTATATGACATACCATAGATTCATGGCACTCACTGACCAACTCTATGACAAGAAGAGAAATAGCAAGATAGCTGTATTAGCTACCTAAGAGTACAAATCTTTCATGCATTTTCCCACTGCTATATATCCAAGCAAAAATTCTGCTTGCAACATATAAAACTGCTTGGCTATTTAAAAAACAAAAACCAGCTTCAAATAACCTCCAACCAAATTACCAGTATTAATTTTTCTGATCTGCTTCTAAAATTTTCAATCTTGCTGAGAATTGCTACAATTCAACCTAGATAATATTTAGCATGGGCTTTAACATAACATACATTTTCACTTACCTAACCTTTTCTGGAGATTTTACTATAACTAGAATTCAGAGTGAAAAATACAAACATAAGATAGTATTTTTTTTTTTTTACATGGGTAATGTTTAACTTCTATTTATCAGACATAATAGCAAAAAAAAATCCCAATTTCAAAAGGAACTGATATGGAACAGTATAAACATCTATCTTTTAGAAACGAACCATACAGGCTTATTAATACAATGCACAATTCTAGGCAAAATGGAAAAAAAACACTGAAGGCTGGATCTAGTCAAGTCTAAGTGAAGCATTAAGAATAAAACCAGGTCCTCCAGATAAAAGTTTAAGGAAGAAAACCAACCCAACTAGTCACTGTGAAACGGTGTTTCATCCCTGAGAAAAATGCACTTGAAAAGTAGTCGTTTTTGCATAGAAGTGTCTTCTCAGGTGACCCTTACTGGCAAAATGGTGTTTAAATGTGTCTTTTATGCTCTTGCTTAGTCACCTTCCTGCTTCTGTTACCCAATCAGGATCAGAGGACAGCAAGGTACCCACCAGTCACTTCACTGGGCTGTGGCAAACATATAACTGAGTTGAGGACAAATACCCTGTGGGATTGGACATGAGATCTGTCCCTGGCAAAGAGAGATGCTACTCATGGAAAGCACAGAAACCTGGCTACTCTCAGCCATTCTGCTAGCATCCAGCACACCATATTAAGCCATTTGTGGCCAGTTGTGCCATTTAGAGGGCACATCTCTGCCTAGTTATTTTAGAACCAACTTACAGAGCTGTTGACCATGAATATATCTAACCCTGTCGATATAGTTTCCTTCTGTCCCCATCTGCTGTGGCAGCAAGTTCCAGGAGTTTACCAACTGCTGTATGAGGTAGTACCTCCCTTGGTGTTTTAAACACAGCCCTGCTAGTTGCATTCAGTTACTTCTCAGTCTTCAAATCCATCAACTGAGCAATTGCAAGTTCAGCACTCTGCCACCTGTGTGATTTCAGAGGCTTATCAGATTGCCAGCCCAGGCATGGACAGTTTTCTCTAGGAGAAGCAGATTTAGGATGGATCATTTTTACCTTCCTCACTGTATCGGTCTTGGCACAGGAAAGGTTTGGTTGTTTTATCCATTCCTCAGTGGACTGCAGGAGTCCAGCCCATGTCAGCAGGGCATAAAGGCCACTTTTCATCTAGTAAACAGTAAGTTGTAAAGTGGCAGACTTCTTCCTTGCGATAATGGAGCAGACACTTAGGGTAAAGAAAGGAGACCTATCTGGGATAAGTAACTCCAGAACAATTTGGTAGCCCACAAACATCTGTGCAACTAGAATCCTGTTTTTATAGGACTAGCACTAGTAAATCAAGACCAACAGTAATAATTTCAACCTGCCATGCTTTCAGATGCTCTATGTCCATAATACCATTTTCTTCATGTCAGAGATATTCAAAGATATGAAGCCTCCACCACCCTCAGATGAAAGAAAACCACATTGTGGTCTATCTTTAACATGAACGTCAAGGAAAATTTTATCATCACAGTGATACAGTGTTGCTACCTATCCAGTCTCAACCTTGCAAAGAGATTCAGCATAATCATGAAAAATTAGTATATGCATAGACCTTATTAAAAGTATGCTAAAACCCAATTAAAGAGCAGTAAGATTTCACAACAGCAGCACAGGCATAACATTTAAATCATTTTACTGAACTGTAAATGAACACCTAATAACCTTCACCCCCAAGCATAAATTTACCAGAAGTAATGTACTAGTGAGTAAAATTAAGCCCAGGATGGTATAGCCCTTTTAATTAAAAAGCTACTTTACATAAAAGACAAAAGAAACTCTACTCAAGCAGCTTTACAACCAAAACAACCAGTCAGAAGTTAGCTAAAATAAGGAAAAAGACAAACAAACAAACAAAAAAAAAAGATTTCTCTACAGAATCAAATGACCTGTGTAGAATATATACCTCAGCACATACAGATATTTTTGCTAGGTGTCCATTTGTGACTGCACTGACATTACTATTTTCCTCAAGATTTCTTCAATAGAGAGGCTATTGGAAATGTCCAGCAAAACGTTTTGTCAGTTGAATTCTCATTTCTTTTTATTCATAGTGTATCCACCTAAAACATTTACTTTTATCTGTATGTATCTCCTTACAGAGGGGGGTTTTCAGGGATATTCAGGTGCAGATAGCCACAGAAGCTGCACAGCAAGTACAAAGCAGCATTCTGACTTTTCTGGTTTAATGTTTCCTATCCTTTCCAAAATTAGGAATCACATACCATACTGCTGTCATCTGGAAGGACTATCCCGAATATACCAGGGTGAGAAATGCAGAAATTATTATGAAAGATTTTTTCCATTACAAAGCAAATCCCACATTTGCATTTCGTATTTCTAGATCTTCACTCCTTGCACTATGCTACTATTACATACCCAGAACACTACTAACTCCTGTGTCATGCTCTTTCACACCCCCCAGTTCACAACATCCAGCTGCCAGGGGAGGGAAGGACCCATTCATAGCATAGCTATATCTAAGCATTCCTTAACCTTCCCATTTTCTAGCCTCCAAAAAATGCCAGCTGTGGCACGTCAGTTTCCACACTATCAGAACAGGATATTCATGTTTTGCATTCTAGTGTGAAGATCAGGATGTAACTTTTAGTTTCCTAGGAAAACTACAGGACACTATACCTCTAAATTCATCTTTAAGAGTACAGTCACAGTGTATGTTCATCTGGAGGTTGTCAGTGCAATACCTTTGCTTAGTGCCTGTCCATCATCTAGACACTTCACTACAACCTAGAATTAAGACAAGCACTAAAAATCACATGAATTACATGAAAATGTAAAACCAAATACTGGTGACATGCCACAATTGTTAAAAATGTTTACACACCTTTGAAATAAAGGCTAAAGCCAGAATCCTTCAAGGGTTTATGCACCAAGCTATTTCTAGACCACATCCCTTATTTCAGTGGGGTTACTTACACTGCATGAAGGTAACTGAGCATCAGCCTTCACAGATTGAGGACCCAAGTTTGCAACTCTAAGCTATGCAACTACAGTAGCTGTAAACAGGCTAACTTTTCAACCAAAAGAGAACTAGTCTTTGAGGTTTTACATTTCTGGAAGACTATTTATTTGTACGTCAACAGGCTGTACACAATAAGAAAAAAAACAATGGTAAAGTCAATTGTGTGGCAACTCACACTACTGCGTTTTGCTATCTACCAGCAATTAAGACAAAATTAATTGCACCTAACTACAACCAGAGTCACAGTTACTATTATACCACACAAGACTTGATAAAGTAATATTTTAACACCACCAACACATTCAGCTTAGCTGGGCAGTATTTTAGTTTTTCCTTAGATGTACCCAGAACTAAGACACGAAAGCCTTTAGAGCCCAACAGCTGCCCTCTCCCAGAACTTGTGGGTCACGTGAAAAAAGAGCTGTTCCACAGCAGTGCAGGTTCTTTCTGTAACACCCTGCCTCTGATCCTCTACAGACCATTCTCTTTGCCTCAGTAACTACTGTGCCTCTGGTTTTGTGCAGATTATCCAAGGATTAATTTTCAAGGAACAGCAGTTCTAAGGGAGAAGGGGTTAGTGGAGGCCCAGGTTATATGCATGAGAATACAGGACACTGATTAGACACCTGACTTCCCCCTCTCCCTTCCAAGGCTGTGAAGGCTCTAGCACACAGACTGATAAAATCACTCTTCTGGTATATCAGGCCAAACAACAGAGCTGCTCTCAGTAGCTTATTTCAGCTCAACAAAATAAGCATCTTTCACTGCTACATTGTGGCTATATTAGTAAGGCTGATGTCATTTCCTTATGCTGGTTAAAGCTAGCAAAATTCAGGTACAAAAGTCTTTGATACATACTTACCTGCATAAAACATTGTTTTTCATTAAGGGGTTGGGAAGAGAAGAGCTAAAATGGGATTTTCTTCTCTCTCTCTTTTTTTTTTTTTTTTTTTTTTTTTTAAATA